TCCCGCGCGGGGCGACGGAGACAATGGGCCGGAGAGTTGGCTCTTCCTCCCCAGCCCACTGACGCGTCTTACGAAAATAGCTCTCGGCTCCCGGAGCCCCCGCCCCAGCCGGAGCCTGCACCCTGCTCTGCCGGTCTGCTGCTCCGGGGAGCAGCGCTGCCTCCGGGAGTGCGTCCAGGCTTCTCCCGCGGCTGGGGGCGGCGGGGGGGGGGGGGGGGGGGTACCGTGTTGGGCAGTGAGGGCGGGGGCGGGGGGGCCTGACTCCTCTACCCCGGGTGAAGGGCAGGAGGGCGCTGGCCTTGGGAGCTGCCAGGCCTCCCGAGCTGAGCTGCGCATTCCCAGAGCGGACTCGTTCCCACCCACTCTCGCGCCCACCTGGGACCTGGACTCCTGTGACATCTGAGCTTAGAAGCCCCACCTGGCTACTGCTGCCCCCCGAACCCAGGCCTATGCTCAGGGCGCCTTACAGGCCGCGCCCCAAGTAGCCCAGACAGCTCCTTTCCCAGACGCTCACGTTGGCTGTCTTCCTTGTTCCCAGAGACTCCGCTTATCCCAGGGTCAGGCTGGCATCCTAGAGAGCACCCTTTGCAAGCCCCCGTTGGGAGCAGAACCACCTGTCCGCAGACGGCCCACTCAGAGGGGGTCCAGGCATCAGGCTCGTGCACACGGCGCTCTGGCTCAAGGACTGGAAGAAAGTGAGCCTATATCTTGGAGCTGTTGGCTTTGCGGGTTACCAATACCCAGACTCCCTGGGTTCCACTCCAGTCGCTGCAATCAGGAATTTGATTCTGGTTCCTAAAAACAAATGCAAGTCGTTGCTGGGTGGCAAAGGACTCAGAGTGCATTATGGAAATGCGGAGCCAGTGAAGAGCTGGCCTGCAGAGGCATGGGTAATCGCAACTTTCCAGCTCTGGCTGATGTAAGAAAAGACAGGAATGGGGACAAAGAGAAAGCAAAGGAAAATGTTAATTACTTATGCATAAAAGCCAACATTTTATAAAAACACTTCCATCAACTTCCTTTCAAAAGCTGTGGTAAAATATACTGGCACCAAGAGATGCGAGAAGACCACGTCCGTGCAGGAAGGAGAAGGCACCCCAGTTGACCGTCCCCACAGTGGCAGCCAGAGGGGCCACCACTGGAAAAGGCCCTGTGTGGCATTCCTCCAACACCCAGAGGAAGGAGCAAGGCTGTGACCTGCCTGCTCCAGGCCAAGCTCCTTCATGCCAAAGGCTGAGTGCCTAACTGCTCGCTTCCTCACTCTGCCTACACACCTTTCATTCAGCAGGCAATAAAGTTATAAGCAGCCTGAATTTGATTGCAAAAGACAGAAATTCAATTGAGTTGGACAAAATCTGGAAACATATTTACTGATGACGTAATTGTAAAGTTCAATCTAAGGGTTACCATCAGGCATGGCTAGATCCAGGACCTCAGAAGAAATATTTAGATCAGCTCTCTCCAGTCTCCTGTCTTTCTTTGTATTGATTCTTTCTCTTATCAACAGTCTTGGACTCACATCCCTGGTTTAGATCCTAGAGGGAAAAAAACTATCTCCCAGTGGCTCTGACAAGAACCTGGAGGACACATCTTTTTGGCTTCCCTGGCCCACCCTGAATTGAACACCACTGTCCAAGAGGATGGAAAACTCTGATTCACGGGGCCCAGAGGCTGGAACTGGGAGGGGTGGTTCGCAAATTAAAAGCAGGGCTCTGTGCCCAAAGGGCGAATGATAATGAGTAAGCAGAAATACCAGTGTGACTCATGTGATGTCATTTCAGTTACTGGGAACCCTGAGGAGACAGGATTTTGTGTTGCTGGAGGGACTCTCTTGGCTCTCTTCAAGGCTCCTCCATAGTTAGGCAAGTTCTCCTAAGACTATCCCCTCCTCTCCGCCTCAGCCAGGCCCGAGGTGGAACTCTGACTAGTAGTCTGGGACCTGGGAGTTTGAACAGGGACAGACCAGACTGAAAGCCTCTCATCTGCTCCCCCCCCCATGACAGGAATGAGGACACCCCTGGCCGCTTGCTTCTACCCCCGGCCAGGCCTGCTTTTATCTTAAAGGCAGTAGGACGGCAGTATTTTAGGAAAACATCAGTGTTTTTCCTGGTGCTGTACTAATTACTTACAGTAGCCTCAGGTTGTGAACGTGGCCCTCCATCTTGCCCCCCCCCCCCCCATGGTGGAGTTTTGCAGTAAAGGGCTGTCTGTTGTCTAGTAGGAAAAAGCAGATTAATAGACGTTAATAGAGCCTTCCAGAACAGAGCCATTAAGCAACAACTCAGTATAATTGAGTAGCAACTGCTCTACATCCTAATTTCACCCACCAGGTGATAAGTTGATTTTACAGTTGATAATTTAACTTGTAACACATAAAAATGTCACTCAGTGGAGTCAACTAGTAACTTTCCTCCAGACATAGAGTTCAACTGAAAAATACTGGAATTATAAAAAGGAAAGGCAGGCCTGTCACTCACACCCGACATGCAAAGCCCACTTCAAGCCTATTTCTTCCTGGGCAATGCGGGCAAATGGGATGGGGCTTGCCATGCTCTGTCAGCTGGTAGTAGCACCTCACCATTCTTCAAGCTCCTCCTGGCTACAATGTATCTGGCATTC